TTTCAGGTGGTATGAATTGAAAGACGCAGTGTTTGGAATTGCTTGGGCTTGATTTTTGATTCTCAAGTAATTTCCTTCATTTTTTCGCTTGAAGTTGCTATTTCTCTCAATTTTACACTATTTATTCTCTTGTGAGTTCATCTCAACGGAGTCGTTTGTGGGCAAAAAAATACGAACATTTATATTATGGGATTTGGGTTTAACACGGTTCTAAATAAAACTTCATAAATCCTATAGATTCTATGATTGACTTGGAGGAATCCATTGTGACTTATAGGTTTTGATAATTACTTTCACATAGCTAGCATAATGCCAATAGGTTTCATTATTGCCTCAGTCAAATCCTAATTAGCCAAGTGTATATTTGGTTTTATGATTGCTTCATGACGTATTTTCATTGGATTAGTTCAGAACCTCTTGGTCAAATTCGAGACTCTTATAAAACTTGAGAGTTTGAAGAGGGTTGGTAAGAGTAAATAGTTTTGATAAAGAATTTCAATGACTCTCACAGAGCTCTCTTAAAACCGATGTGAGCTAAATGCCAAATTGTTCAATGCGATAGTTTTATCATAGTATCTCTAGCACGGTGTGTGTGCTCGCCCACAGCCTAGCAACCTTGGAAATTACGCGCTGAAAACTTGGAAATGCGAAAAATGCTGTCCGATCGCCCCACCCGATACCCCAGACATCAATTCCGAACGATTCAATGCTATAATGGCTCAATTTGCACTAATTAACAACGCTATCTCCTCTTGCAATGATCAAATAAAAGATTTAAGGGTGCTGATCGCAGATCAGTCAAAAACAATTAACACTTGCGTAGCTGACATTGCAAGTATTCGTGAAGACTTCACTTGTATACATAGAAAAGTTAGCGATCTAGAAAACAACTTCCGATGCAGTACCCCCGCTGATGAAATACATGCTGAAATTTCTGAGCGGCTCAAACGCGGGAAGAATATTCTGATAATGGGATTACAGGTAGATTCAAGTGCCAACGACTTTTCTTCCGCGAAACGTATTATCGACGATATACCAGTCGATAGAGATATTCCTATAATATCTGTAATGAGACTTGGAAAACAACGCACGGACGGGAAACCACGCCCGTTGAAACTGGTGCTTAACTCACCTGATGATGCACTTACAATACTAAAAAAAAAAACCAAAACTTCCCATTCTAATATTTCCATCAAATCTGACTCAACTCCGTCTCAATCTAAGCATATGTCTGAACTAAGGAAAGAACTGGAGCGTAGAATTCAAGAAGGGGAAAATAACATCACTATAAAATACGTCAGAGGAACCCCGAAAATTGTATGTTTGTCAGATGAAAGAACGAAGCGAACTCGTGAAGAAGAAGATTCTCCAAAACGTGATCAAGGGGTTAAATTCCTGAAACCAGCTGGAAAAAAATAGCAACGAACTAAAATATTGTTTTGGAATTGTCAGGGATACACGAATCTAGAGGAAACTGTGAAACAAATTACTGACTTTGATGTACTTTGCCTGAGTGAAACATGGTTGACTCATAAACTTGAACGTGCTCCTGGTTTTTTATCATCTTATGCAGTAATCAGCTCCCCAGCAATTAGAGAAAAATCTTTCGGTCGTCCTAGTGGGGGGCTATGCATTTTTTTCAAAGACCATTTTGCATTGACTATATTAGATGTCTCCCCCTGGTGGATATTTGTTCTTTTGACCCATTGTGATCACAAGTACATAATATGTAGTGTATATTTTAAACCCAGTCTCGATATAGTTACATTGTTAGACATGTTTCAAGTATCATTAACTAATATTATTGAAGAACATTTTGACGCTCCCATTATCATTGGGGGGGACTTCAACTGTCGTGTAGCTGAATTGGGCACAACACCAGTTGAGTTACTTGAAAATGTCAATTCATATGAACATAGACAGAGCTGCGACAAAACCTTGAACGCGAGAGGGCGTAATGTTCTCGAATTCATGTATTCTAATTCATTCAGTTTACTGAATGGCAGGAGCTCTTTGGATAGTCCTGCACAATATACCCACGTGAGTACCCAAGGAAAAAGCACCATTGATTTAGCTTGGATACACAACTCGTTCCTCCCTGACGTACACAATTTTGAAGTTCTTAATGAATTCAGTATTTCAGACCACTTCCCCATTTGCATATATATGAAAAACTTGACTGAATATTCATACGAAAACCCTACATGCGCTACACGAAATACAATGGATGTATTGACATGGAATAATAACCTCTCTAGAGAGTATAAAGTTTACATGCGTCAGTCAGGAAGAGTTGTGTTTCAACCGAATATTCAGGAATCTTATAATAATTTTTGTCTGGCAATCTCAGAAACCGCTCATATACTCAAACTCACACGGCAGGTGACTACCTCAAAAAAAAAACGGCATAATAATAAACCATGGTTCGATATTGACTGTAACAATCTGAAAAAGCAAGTAAGCAAAGATCTCAAATTATGCAAAAAGAATAACTTTCAACATCACTATAAAACTCGATTTCTGGAATCAAAAAAAAATTACCGAAAATTACTCAAGCTCAAGAAACATAACCATGAAATGGAAATCCTAACAACTTTGTCACACACAAGAGAATCAAAAACATTTTGGCAAACCATCAAACAATTTCGTAACTCTTCCCCGCATACGAACTTGCCTATAGATGTGTGAGAGAATTTTTTTTGTAGCATTTACCGCCCGAGAGTAATTGAAAACATCTCTTTTTTTGGTGTGCGCGATCCAATTCTTGATTGCCCTATTACATTAAACGAAATCTACTTTGTATTAAATAAATGCAAAAATGGCAAGTCGCCGGGCACCGACCAAATTTCATACGAATTTCTGAAAAACCTTCCTCAAAATTGGGTTATCTTTTTAACAAGTCTATTCAACAGAATATTTGACACTCACATTATCCCTGCCACCTGGAGTGAAATGACGCTAACAATGCTTCACAAAAAAGGGCCCACGGAAAATCCTCTCAACTACAGAGGAATTGCACTCATAAACTGTCCCGCGAAACTTTTTACACAAATTTTACTTAATCGTCTCACACTTTGGGCAGAAAATAGTAGTGTTTTACCGGAATCTCAGTCGGGTTTTCGGAAAAACCGAGGTTGTATAGATAACGTCTTTACGCTGAGCAGCGTCATTCAACTCCAACTAAGACTAAAAAACGTAAGGTATTCGCGGCTTTCATTGACTTCCAGCGGGCATTTGATTCAGTGAATCATTCTTTACTTTGGCATAAATTGTTTGCATCCGGTTTCAGCTCCAATATTTTAAACATTCTGAAAAATATGTATGATACAACGACTATTAAAATAAAAGCGCGAGAAGGTTACACAAAACCTTTCGACGTTACCTCTGGAGTTCTTCAGGGGGAGTCTCTCAGTCCCTTGCTCTTTGCTATTTTCATCGCGGATATTGAGGAGTTTTTCCGTAGCAGGGGTACCATAGGCCTGAATATCGATAACACAACGGACTTGCTGTTGTTGCTATATGCTGACGATTTGGTCATTCTTGCTGATTCCGAAATAGATTTACAAAAAAAACTGAAGATCCTTGATGAATACACAGCTGTTAACCTACTCACGATTAATATCAAGAAATCTAAAGTTATCTGTTTCTCGAGAGGCGGCTTTCAGCGCCAAAACTTTAAATTTCGTCTGAATGGCAATACCCTTGATCTAGTGAATAATTATGTTTACTTGGGTGTGCAGTTTGTTGCATCCTCTCTTTTCAGAGAGATGGCACTCTTTACTGCTGACAAATCAAAACAAGCCATCGGCGCTATACTTCCATTACTCTCTAAATCAAAAATGGATCTCTGGCGACCCAGAATAAAATTATTCGAAGCTATGGTTCTTAGCGTCATGTCTAACTGTCTACCAGTCTGGGGCCTCAGATATGTTGATATCTTAGAGAGGGTTCAACTCATGTTTTTCAAACGCCTCCTTCTCCTCCCAAATAACACCCCAGACTATATAGTTAGATTAGAAACCGGGCGCGTGAAAATAGCTTTTAATATTCTCAAAGCAACATTGAACTGGCTAATCAAAATGTTCAGTTTGAATGATTCCAGACTGCCAAAGATATGTTTTTTGCGACAATTAGAATTATCTAGTAGCGATGCCAGATATAATTGGGCCAAACAAGTGTCACAAATTTTGGAGTCGATCAGTCTCTCTGAACCCATGGCGAACATCAACGGGGCTTATCTTAAGCGCAACAAACACAAAATATTAGCACAGTTCCTTGATAAACTTCACCAAGAGGATATTGCCTTAGCCACCAACTCTCACTTTATGTCTTTCCACACGCACTTTACCCTCAACAAACAGCCAAACAGTTACCTTTTTCTCAAAATGCCAATTCAAATAACAAGAACTATCGCCCAGCTGAGAATGTGCAATAATTACGTAATCAGATTCACGCTGAATGGTTGCACTTATCGTATCGACCCACGCGATGATTGTACTGTTTGCAACCAAAACAAGCTCGAAACAATTCAACACATCCTGTTCGAATGCCCCATATATTCCACGATGAAGCCTCCGAATTCTAATCATCTTCTTGACTTTAACTCCTTAATATGTGCCCTCGAGAATATTACGCCTTCCCTTGCAAAAACTATAGCAAGTTACATTTGGAACATCTTGAAACTGCGAGCTTTCATTTTAAATGAATAATTTCATATAGGTTACAGAAAATCAGGATATTAATTCTACTAAAATTGTGTGCTTATCTTGAATATTCTCACTTTTTTTTTTTTCTCTCATTCTGTCAGTTTGTTTTTCATATCTAGCCGTCTAATATTTCATTGTAAGCATAACTACTTGTAAACAGCCTAACGACACATAACATGAACTCCTTGTTGTAAAACTGTAATGTTTTAAGAAACAATAAATATATTATTATTATTATTATCATAGTATCTCAAAGCCTTTCAAAAAGATTATATGGACATGAAGGCCAATATGCTTTTTCCAGGGCATTCATAAAACGGTAGAACGAATTAGACCTAGCATTTGCGCTCACATAACCTCTTTACAGTCTCATCGAAACTATTAGGCATTCAAAATGTTACTAGGGATACCAGCTACAAGATTTTCCCCAGGTTTCGACTTATAGTGAAAAAGGTGTCAAGGCGATGAATAATGAGTAATTCTGTAATTCTGAAAGATTTTACGATGAGTATGTTACAAATTTGTGTTCCTCATTCTTTGAATAGTTAACATGATGATAATCGCCATTGGCGTCAATCAGTCTAGCTACGGCACTGCGTGAACGCTAACATACGAATATCATTGAAACGGACTTCATAAAAGAAAATTGCACTGCAGGTTAACAAGATTACATCGTCAATTTTCATTACTGCTGGACCAGACTCCACGTCAATCGATCGTCTTGATTATCCGCTTGATCCATTGCGCCGTCACGGGTATTTTGTGGTAGATCCCGGGCTGGTGCGGCTCGCCGCATCCGAATCCCGCACTGGTGATTCCCGCCAGCGTCCACCGCCCCTCTTCCAGGACGATAAGCGGTCCCCCAGAGTCCCCCAGGCAGGCGTCATGTTTCCCGTTCTTGTGGCCGGCGCACAGCATTTCGAGATGCAGGTCGACGGTGATACGCCTCGTTTTGTGCCAGGTCATGCATTCTCTGATATCTAAAAAAATAATCACTACAAACTCCAATATAATGAAATCATGGAGAGAAAAATAATGTCTCGGACCCATAACGGGTCCATTCCCAGTCAATATCGATTATTTTACAAATAATAACAAGAGAATAACAGTGGAGATATCAATGGTGATAACTAGTGCTCAGGTAATGAAAGAGGAAGGCAAAACCTGGTAACTACGAGGAAATTGAATGAAAGAGTTGTAATTTGAAGGTTACATTGCATTTTGTTAGCCAGGTTTTCTACAAAGGAGTCCCGTGCCCCAATTCGCAAATCAAACAAGCACATTGAATGGCCGAAATAATCTATAAGTCGAATGAAGCATGTGAAATCAGACTGATTAGGCATATTGACAATGTTGATGTCACAGACTCACCGTGCGATCACAATGAAGCAACACGTACATTTGACAAGAGACATCAAAAACTACTTCACTTCATTTTCAAACGATATAGACTTTTGCAGTCTACAGTTCATTTGCAATTGTTATATTTTCGAAATTATTGAGGGTTTTTGAAGGTGGTATCATTTTGTTACATTATTTCACACCAACTAACAGGGGTCAGTGAAATGGGCCCATTGGGGCCTACTCGCTAGGCAGCCGACTCTCCTTTTCACTACTACGGACATCTCTCAGAGCAGACAATGTAATTGAAGATAGTTCCATTGGTCCGCTGAAGGTCTTATATTCAGACACGGTCAACATATTTCTACTTCATTTCAACGTCAAATAGTTGGAGAAATACTATGAAGGTACTGTTGTTGTCCCACCAGGTAGCGAAGTAGTAGATTGACTGTCGAGGCTGTCAGTAAGTAAAGTAAGGGATCTTTTCAATACCAACAAATTTGATGTAGTTACAGTTCCGTCAAAGATTGATGGAAACAGTTTTACACCCTTCCCAACTCACTCTCTTCCACTTCCCGAGTTTATGGTTATTTCATCGAAAAGTTTTGGCTTATACATACAAGAAAAATAAAACTCTTACACTATCATTCTTGTAGATTCGTTCAAAACACGAATGGGCATAATCGAATATATACGTTCTATATGAAATATTGTATCTCGTTATTGATCAATTGAACAGTCGAACGATGATGACCATTCTGCTGATGTTGACCTAATCGGTAAACAAAAAATCTGTACAAATTACCTAGTATAGGAACCGTTGCACTTCTCAAGATATTAGTCCCCATCAACTCGTTGGAGGACTGTACTTTTCCCCATCCTGCCACCACTGCATTTCTTCCAGTCAACTTCATGTCCCCATCCGGCAGACAAATTGGAGAAATATGGAAAAAATTTCCTGCTTCTGTCACTAATTCCAGCAGGGCCAGATCGAATCTGTCAGGCTGAGTGATCCTGTATCGGAATTTTGGATGTATGATTCGCTTGCGGACCTACGGAAAATAACGAGGTCTTCATGTCACTCCGATTGATTATCATGGAAATTGGGTTGTGAGGAATATTATTGAGACTATTAAGTGTGATCAATTATGATTTGGATAATGGATGCGACTTCATACATAATTCCTCGAGATATGAGACTCAATTGATTTCCTGATTCCGTTCTTCAAGATTCCAAGATCAGATTCCACTTTTGAATGATTTTACTTTCGAAAAGTGTCACTCATTATTTTCCAACATTTCTGGTACGTACTACCCCAAAATTCACATTGACTTTTTGCCACTATCGCATGCTTCTATCCTTCTAGCGTGAACATAATGGATCAGAATGCTAACTCTATAGGTATATACAGGGTGATTCACATAAGAACCGACATAAAGCAGGGGCATGTAGGGGGTCCCAAAATATGGCAATTTAACGCAACTTACCTTTTTATCAAGTTGCTTCCTTAAGGAGATATAGGCTTTGAAAGTGAAGTTATAAATTTTGAAAAAAACCAATATCTTCGTTATCCTTGAATTTCAAGCAACCAAATTTGGTACACTTTGTGGATGTATTTGAGGCGGTACTTGACATTAACTAGAGTTTAATTGAAATTTTTAATGGGGGTATACCGGGTGGCGCACCATTATTATTCAACATAATTTTATTAACCCCCAATGTATTTCAAAATTCTTCACTTTGTTTCGTGGGCAATTCAATTCTAAAACTTTTTCTACTCAAGTAATTTTTCGAAAAACCCCATCGTTTTCCTCAAAAACTCGAATAACTGAAAACGCGCGCTCTAGGTGTGTTATTTAAAATCATCGAAAATTCAAAAGTTGACAATGAAAATGAACGTCAAACTTGACAATGAGGCAAGTGGGTTGTTCAATTGAGTAATAGTTGTTTGACTGTAAAATGAACGGGAAGTTTTCTTTTAACGAGCGAGTTGACATGCTGTTAGTGCTTTGCCTATAACTCCTTAGGGAAGTAACTTGGTATGGAGGTAAGTTGCGTTAAATTGCCATATTTTGAGACCCCCTACATGCCTCTGCCCTATGTCGGTTGTTATGTGAATCACCCTCTGTGTATATATATATATATATTCAATTAATATTAGTAGCTGTATAAATCAATAGATTAGGTATAGGTTTTGTGGGGATGCAGCTGATGTGGGACTCAAAAGAAAACTCTTTTTACTTTTGAGAAAGCTTTCGGAATTTATTTAATTCCTTCGTCAGTCTCTCTAAAATGGAATGCACAATTATAATATTCAGAAGAAATGGGTATTAAAAATTACTTACAGTATATGAGGTTGTAGAATTGCAAATCAGAATAATATGTAGTATAAAATTGTAAAAAATGCATAAATTCATGGATATAAAACTAATATATAACTTTGTCAAAGTGACAATATGTAACATGAAAAAATACATGGGGTTGAAAAATTAGATAGGTAAAAGGTTGATCAAGATGGAATTGAATTCATGGATATATTGTGTCTATAATGCCTTTTATTCTCTATTTCTAGAATATTTGAATAAATTACATTTAAATTTTGAATATCTGTTTTTTTATTCATTGAGCATTTTTCATTTTTTATATAAATCATTTCTAAGAAACATCTCTTGAAAGTATTTTTCTCTGATACTAATATCGAGATGTTATCAAAATCCATTGGATGTCCAGTATCATTAACATGTTAATGATACTGGACATCCAATGGATTTTGATAACATCTCGATATTAGTATCAGAGAAAAATACTTTCAAGAGATGTTTCTTAGAAATGATTTATATAAAAAATGAAAAATGCTCAATGAATAAAAAAACAGATATTCAAAATTTAAATGTAATTTATTCAAATATTCTAGAAATAGAGAATAAAAGGCATTATAGACACAATATATCCATGAATTCAATTCCATCTTGATCAACCTTTTACCTATCTAATTTTTCAACCCCATGTATTTTTTCATGTTACATATTGTCACTTTGACAAAGTTATATATTAGTTTTATATCCATGAATTTATGCATTTTTTACAATTTTATACTACATATTATTCTGATTTGCAATTCTACAACCTCATATACTGTAAGTAATTTTTAATACCCATTTCTTCTGAATATTATAATTGTGCATTCCATTTTAGAGAGACTGACGAAGGAATTAAATAAATTCCGAAAGCTTTCTCAAAAGTAAAAAGAGTTTTCTTTTGAGTCCCACATCAGCTGCATCCCCACAAAACCTATACCTAATCTATATATATATATATATATATTATATGCAAATTTGTCCAAGCTTTCGAAAAGTTATATTTCCATCATCAGGGAAAGACAACAAAATGTTATATCAATCAGCGAAGCTGGTTTATTATCGAGTGACGACAAACTTGGTTCTTGACTTCGAGAGCTTTCACAAAATTTGATTTCATGACATGATTTCCTGCTTCCTTCCCATTCTCGCATGAAGAGTGTTATGCTCAGAGTTGTAAAAGCTCAAGTACGCCAGGCACAACATCCATAGTACTATCAACCTTTAATCCACTTTTATGCAGACATGAAGAGGAACCTTGAAGTTGAACAACGTGATGGAAACATTGTACAAAATTTTCGATGTTCTGATTGTAAATAAAATTATCTTTGAATTACTGTAGAAAATCATGTTTTATCCGTTTCTTTGTCTTTTACAAAACTTTCAAATGTTTCGTGACACTATCCTGTCCAAAAGGTGTTACATCAACTTCCATTTGATCAATCTTCAATATTATCGTCAATGAACATATCCAATTTTCATTATAGACGCCCTGATGATGAAAATATATATTTCCGAAAGCTCAGAGAAACTATAATGCTGCAATCCGTACTAGCAGGCTAATTTCATCTCAAACGTGACAGCAACGACTCTCCTTCCTTCTTTATATACAGTGTGTCCATTTAGTGCGTAATTCTTCGATATCTCGAAATCCATTATCACTAGAGAAAAAATTTTGGAAACAAATTTCTTCCGTTATTGAAGGTTCCATTTCAAAAATATTTTCAACAATACTGGGTGTTTTATAAGAGCGGGAGGACTCGGAGACGAGTTTTTTCAAATAGAACACCCAGCATTTTTTATTCAAAATTCATTCCGCTACGGTTTAGCTCTACATCGCTGTGAAAAAAATTGGATTCGGTTGAGGCGTTGCCAAGTTATGATTGATAAACCCATTTTTACTTCTATTGAAGGGTCATGTTGAATTGGGTATGGTATATTCATTTATTAAAATTTTGAGAAGATTTTTGGTATACAGTAGTAGCAAGGTCTCAAGTATACCAATCCAGTAATTTTGCGAGATTATCCTTTACAGGGTGCTGAAATTTACACTCTGAATATTGTAAGATTCAGACGACGTTCACTAGAATTTTTCAAATGGAACACCCTGTATTTTTCATCACAAATTTATTTCGACATCATTCGCCTTTACATCGCTGAAAATTGAAATCGGTTGCGGGGTTTTCAAGTTATGAGTAATTTCCTTATGTTCATCACTATCTCAGGGCCACTTATGGGACATGGTACCTTTATTTGATTTGATTGTGGGAATATTGCTTGCCACATGAAATTCGAGGTTCTACATAGATCATTGAGGTATCTTTGCGATATAAGCATTGTCAAAATTAAAAATATTCCGTAATCTTGATACTTATGATTTAAATAATATGTACCTATGTGAAACAAACATGCCAAAAGCAAAACGACTGCCTTTAAAACAACTTCTACAATACAAACAATGGAGATTTGAATTGCGAGAATAAGGAAATTTTTTTAAAATTTGGACCACTTTTATTGTCATTATTCCCACAAACCAAATCTCCATCAAACTTGAAGGAGGCAAACTCTACATAATGATACAAACAATATTTCTTTACTACGCGGGTTTCGGGAGGGAATTCAGCAAAATTTTAAATAAATTCAAGATATATTTGATTGTGACGATGTTTGACAGGTCATTACACGAATAATGGAAGTGTACTTCGAAAAATCAATTCGTTGTCTGCTAAAAATCTGTGAAAGTAGCATTTTGGATCAATTTGTCAAATCCACTCTGTTTTAAATTCAAACTTGGAGAGCGTGCAAATGTTCCTATTGTAAAAAAATATATGAATGAATGACGTAAAAATTATACTCCGAAATAGTAGTAAAAATAAGGAAATTATCCATAACTTGGCCGCAGCCGATTATGATTTTTTTTCAGCGATAAAAAGGTGAAAGATGTCGGAATAAATTTGTGAAAAAAAATACAGGGTGTTCCATTTGAAAAATTCTAATGAATGCCATCTGAATCTTGCGAAATTCTAAATGCGAAATAGAGCACCCTGTTGAAGAACATGTCGCAAAATTACTGAATTTGTATACTACCGTATGCCAAAAATATTTTCATAATTTGAATAAATGAATATACCACGCCCAATTCAACATAACTCTTCAATAGTGGTAAAAATAGATTTATCAATTATAACTTGGCAACGCCGTAACCGATTTCAATTTTTTTTACAGCGATGTGAAGGTGAACCTTGGCGCAATAAATCCCGAATAAACAATACAGGGTGTTCCATTTAAAAAAACTCGTCTCCGAGTCATCCCGCTTTAATAAAACACCCAGTAATGTTGAAAATATTTTTGAAATAAGCAACTTGAGTAACTGAAGAAGTTTTTTTCTATAGGTTATGGCTTTGGAGATATCGAAGAATTACGCACTAAATGGACACACTGTATAAACTCACTTACCAGATGAAGTGGGACAGCCAAAAAGTTGACCAATTTTGATAAGCTATAACTCGGACATTCCTTGGCCGATGTTGGATTTTCAACTGAAGTTAGAAAGCGTAATCCTTGGGCTATGCGTCATTATCGTCGGGTTTTTATTTTTGCGATTCGTTCTCTTTGTACAGAGTGTGAATTGAGAACCGGAAAAATTTCAAATTTTTGACCAATAATTTGGGAAATGTGAGAGACCCTAGGATTCTTTGTTAGATGTTAGGTAAATGGTTGGTTCAATACCTCGAGACGTCTTCGAAATTTTTTTCATAAATTGCGTTGCTATGGAAAAATCGCCATTTTATGAAATTTCGTTTTTATTCTGACATGAGACCTGTTTTAGTTAGACAATAACAGCCAACATCTAAACTGCAACGAGGAATATTTCTACTAGAGATAATCAACACCAGTGGTGCGCAAAAAAAAGTCATACCTTCATTCAACATGATTTGGACAAATTCAGAGGTGCGCAAAAAAGAGGTTCATCATGTTTAGAAACGACAAAAACGTTTTTATTAAAAAAAATTAACAGTTTCATTGATCGGTACAGCTGAAAAATTGCCATACATTTAATTAGCATGATGTTGACAAATGCAGAGGCGTGCAAAAAGTGATTATGTAATGTGAACAAATTTAAGTTCCACTCTCATTATCATTGTTTCTCACTTATTCAAGGTGAGCTGCCAAGTATTCCATTGGCGTATTAAAGAGGATCCATCATTCAAGGCCTTTCTGAAAGTTTGATATGGAAACATCGTCAATAATTCTATCAAGTTTTGTTCATTGTTCACGCAGTGGAAATTTTCTTGTTTCAATGTTTATGAATGGAAATTCAGGAACGTTACTCTGGCTTCTGATGTTTCTCGTGCCGTACAATTCGACAATTTTGTCAGAAAAATATTCATTTATTTGGGGTTACTTTTAAGTTTCTTGAATAACGTTCTCTCATGTACTTAATTACGGTAGTATATGGTTTTTCTTGTTTGCTGATGGATTCATTCGAGAGGAATTAATTACATGTATGCAACTAGTAAATAAATAAGAATAAAATAAATTATGGAACTGAAATTTCAATCTGTCTACATCGAATCACTTTGCCTCTGAATTTGTCAACATCATGCTAATCAAATGTATTGCAATTTTTTTATTGCAACGATCAATAAATGTTGTTTTTTTTTCCATAAAAACGAATTTTTCGTTTCTGAATAGCATAAACCCCTTTTCGTACTCCACTGGTGTTGATAATCTTCAGTAGAAATATCCCTTTTGGCAGTTCAGATGTTGGCTGTTATTGTTCAACTAATAGAGGTCACATTTTGAAATATAAATGGAATTTCATAATATGGCGATTTTTCCATAGCAACGCAATTTATCAAAAAAATTTCAATGGCGTCTCGAGGTATCGGAGCAACCATTCATCCAAAATCTAAAAAAGGATTCTAGGGTGCCTCACATTTCCCAAATTATTGTTGAAAAATTCGAAAATTTTCCGGCTCTTAATTCACACTCTGTAAAAAGAAGACGAATCGCAAAAATAAAAATTCGACGCCAATGACGCATAGCTCGAGGATGACGCTTTCTACCTTTGGTTGAAAATCCAACATCGGCCAAGAAATGTTCGAGTTATAGCTTATCAAAATTAGTCAACTTTTTGGCTGTTCCACTCCATCTGGTAAATAGTTTATATATATGCCTTTGCTTGATGGAAATCCATAGTTAATGTGAAAGCTTCCTGAACGATACGATTTTCACAAAATTTCTAATTACACAACTTGTTTCTTTGACACAGTCGCTGCCTTAGGTGAAATACTCGTACAATAAACTTACTCAGTAACTGAGTTTACATTCACATATGCTATATAGTGTTATTTTATTCGCATATTTTGGATAATATTTATATAGTATATCTCCGTGACTATTCCCATTCAACTTGGTGGAATGACGAATGATTTTTATCAATTCTGGGCTGGAGTTGGGAAAGTTCCTCCCATTGATGAATTCACATCAAAGAAGGTCGGATATGAATTCAAACTCATTGTTCCTTCAATAGATATTTACGTTACTAGTCCGGTAAGTACACTTTTACAGTACGATTTCGAAACGAGTACTGTGAAAGTTTACCGGACGTGTGACGTATAACATTTTATTTCATACTGCTAAAAAACAAAAATGAACTCAAGAGACACGGGGGATCGAAGAGCTCTTCGGTGGCGGAAAAATATACCGAGGAAAAAACAGGGTATCTCGCATTATTCAACATGGAGAAAACTTTGTTAAAGTGCTACAACAAAAAAATGGGAATGTATCAGCAAGTAGCAACTCCCTAATAAATAATTCATCCAATGGAGCTCCTGGTATCCATATTCATGGGAACGAAAATGTAACGGTTAATTTTAATATTAGCAATAAGTAATATATGTGTATTGTTTTGCTGTTGAATTTTTAATAAATGTATTCATGCTTTTGACGCATAACTGAGTTTTCAATATTCACAATCCGGTGAAATTTCATTACGGGATAGTAGCACGTAATGAAATATTACGTGCGCCTATCCTGTAAAAGTCTATTTTCCGGATTGAAATCAGGTACGTAAAGGTATGTTCTATGATGCAGTATGAAATAAAAATTATTAGGGTCTTGTAGGGGAATACAGAAATTGAATATGTTTATACCAGTACAACTTATCAGAGTTCTAGCCAGCGACTTAATTTTCACAATTGTTTGTTTGAATGAGTTCGAAAATCAAACCATCATCTTCAAAATCATCGAATTCAAGAATTCACAAATTATATCCTTCAACGTACCTACCCTATGTAATTCGGCGGGAGCGAATTCCTCAACATTTCCGGTATCTTGGGTGTCTAGTTCCCCCAGGTAAACAAGCACATCCTTCAACTTCGCAGTTATGATACAATGGGCTGCTGTGGCAACGAACTTCCTAGAAACTGTCAAATAACCGTACTATGAACTACAAAGTGAGTAAGAATAATGGCAATGAGGAAAACAAGAACCTTGAGAATATCTTGATATACTTTTTTGCTCTCGAAATATTTCAAGTGTCGCGATTTTCTTCAATTCTCAGAGTTGTGTTACATCTTCCTGTGGAGCGATATTATCAATTTTTTATATTCAAATCAATACAGATAATGTATAAGTACATGAATTGCAGGTCTGAACAATATCGAGTCCCAGAATGATAGAATTCTCTGAAGAGAAGGCATTGCCATCATCATGAGGAAAATAATAGTTAACAGACGAAGTAAAGAAAATTCATCTGCACAAATTTTTGAGAAGTCGGCGGACAATTGATGGTAGACAACGAGCAAATACTGACTAGTTACCCAGCAGGTACAACGTTGAATTCGTGTGAAAAAATACTAATTGCATGTGTTTCTTCATAATTGTAAATTGTGTTCAAGTCATGCTATATAGAAAGCAGAACAGTCACCATACAAAAATCAGAAGACATCTCACTGAGGAACTAACGGATCCAAGGAAGATGAAGTGTTCCGTTAGTGTAGAGCGATTATATGCACAGTGTGAAAATCTATGATGGCAAAAAGTCAGTATATCGATATTTTGAATATATTTCGAGAACTCCACGGACTGATTGACTCTTTCTTTTCAGTAAGTAAATTCTTCAACATAAAAATCTTGAACAACCTGACGATATCATACCGTGCAAATCAATTCCTTTGAAATTTCTAAATTGTACAAGAGGTTGAGTTATACAATTGTTCAGAGTCGGAATGTTCTTCAAAACATCAAAGAAATGCTTCTATCCCAAAGAAATCAAGTTATTCGAGGAATTATCCATTTTCCCAAGAATACTTATCGAGTATATTTGGTTCGATCATTGAGAATCGACTTATCTATTTTCTCAGATAGCTATGAGCAACGATTTTCAACCCAACTCCAAGACCCTGAATACATGAGGAGAATTTCCGTTATTTTGCGAATCATCATTATCTTTTGAAATTGATGTATAATTCTATAGGTCACCATGTATACAAAGATATGCATCAGTAAACGAGTCTGTTGAACTTTTTTTTCATAGTAGAATTTGAACATACCTAGTACTCCTCCACACTGATAGGATAAAATTTTTATGTAAGCTTGCCAAGGAAATTGTCCAAAGAAAGCTTTCTTTCCCCCAATAATTCGTTTAGAAAATAATCTGTCGGTTGATATACCACAGTCATCATCATCCTCTTCATATCCAGAGTCATCTATCCGTTTCTGTAGGACTGTGGATGAAGCTTCTCTCAACCTGAAATACAATATATCTGTCTTGATAACGCCACAGTTTCTCAAAATGGAGTGATGAAATCGGAGAATATAAGACAAGAATTTATTTCACAAGTGCTGTATGCAGTTCGAATCATATAGAACGAGGGAAGCAGTTCTCAGATATTAAGGAAGTTCTTCATCAGCCAATACGTATTTAGTCCTATTGAAGAACAAATCTCCACATTGAGTAAACTTGAGACATGATTGATATAAATGATTCTCCAATAAAGTGGAAATATTCAATAATGAATAAATTTTAATGAATATTTAATAGGGAATGAGCTACATATTTTCATCGTGATAGTCCAATCGAACAGCGACTGCATAGTAGGTATCTTTATCGTGTGGCGCTGTACTTCTTACCTCGATTTCATCATTATTTGTTTCAATTTGAAACATTCAATACGTTCACTGAGATACACTTTCTGACAGATTGTTTTTTTTTCTATATTTGATGTTCTGCATTTTTCTTGATGAAATTTCGATTTTCACATGGAAAAATGGAATTCTAGGGAAATGAATGGAAAATGAAAAAAACATTCAGGTGTTTCAGGAAATTATGCCACGAGATATTCTAGGAAAATTGAAAGATATAATACACGGCGAGTTCCCTTCGTGCTTGTATTTTGGATTGACATATTCGGTGAGATTCCTTGTGGAGGAAAGGTGCGACAACATTTAATACCTAGTTTATATCATGTGAAATGGTGTGTGTGGTTCCGGGTTTTTACCCGAAATATCTGGGGGTATAGTCTTTACAAGGTCATAAATCCAATAAATTTCGCCATATACGACGATAAATATACGAAGAAATTGATTTATTAACACCCAGTGTTTTCGTTCTTGAAAAATATGTACTCATGAACTTTTCTATTAACCACAAATTCATGAGAATAATTGTTTCTTTGGAATTTCGATGATATCTTACGATTAGGAAAATATCGCAAATTTTCACTGAATTTAATTTTCAACAACTGATTATCATGTTAATTGAGTTCTCATTCCAAGTTCAGAGATTGTGATTGAATCAAATCTATCAACTTTACAGGGTCTCTGGGAGTATTAGAATGTTGAAATATCTCAAAAACTGTCGGTTTGGATCTGGATCTGAAGTATTTCATGACAAATTATTTCACCGAATTCCTCGTTTCTCTGAAAAATTTTTGATAAATTCCATCGGAAGTTTCATTGAGAGAAAACCATTATATGTGAATTCTGTAAAATCGAAGAATGTAGCGACAATGGCTTATAATGTAATCACCTCGTGAAATTTTTCAGAGAACATGGTGGAATTCAAGATTCTATCAAGATTCTCAGTCTCCTGGCGACTCTGTATGACGAAGAAGAAACTGTTCTTATCGTCTTCTCCTTCCGATGATGCTAACACAAAACACTATACTATATATAAAATTATCTGGGTATCATCGAACTCACTTGGTATTATGAAGAGGACTTGATAGAAACATTCATGCGCGAGAAAAGAACAACATTACTGATACAACCTCCATCAGAATGACATCTTTGGAAATGTAATTGTGTTTATGTTTATTTGTATCATGGAAGGACATGACCATGTCTTCAGAGGAAGATGCAATAGAATAACAAAGAAGCAGACACAAAACATATTATGCATTCCATGTTTGCCCGTCTTCGTGGTTCCATCCAACTACATATTCAATCTCCAGGCACTGATTTACTTCTATATTCGTTAATAGAATGGAATACAACCGAAGATTGATCTACATCAGGAAAGTAACAGAACTTCTCAGCTCTAGAATAATTATCTGCCAGGCAAGTTCTGATACTACAGAATCTATGGTGAACATAGCAAAAACCTCCTTGTGGGAAGTCTTCAACGAAGCAGACGATGAGAAGTTTTGGAAGCACTAAGCCAACGTGATTATTTGAAACATTCGTATGCCAAATTTACGTCCTTGGTATACGGATTGATAATATCAGAGAGCTTCGATGGTGGATGTTCATAATGAAAGTGGAAAAATTGCCACCTACTAGAGCTCCCCTGATACCATATGTGAGGATCACTATCAATTTATGGAATGGCGTGGTACTGATCTTCCTCTCCTAGATTTGCCATCAGTAATATCAGATTTTGAATGGCAATTGCAAGATGTGCGCAATCGTTATGACCCTGTCATGTGTTTTTCACCATGTGCCCCACAAATTTCTCTCCTACTCATCAGGTGCTCTCCTATTGAAAGAAGGTGTGCTTCACTTAGCGAATTTCATTCTCAGAATCTCAAGTGCACCGAACTATGTGTGTGAGGAAGATTCATGTGATAACCACGGAAAATCAACTCACAATGGAAATATCCTAGAGGATATGGATGATGTTTTATTGTGGGATGATCAATCGTATTGAATTGTTTTGCATAAGTGGTGAATACACTGTGACTCAAAATATATATTGTGCTCCTCCTTCTCCTATACCCGATGAGGTTGTTCTCCGTAGCTATAACAATTTCTCCAGTACTATTATAGTCCTTAAAAATTTCAGGATATGAGGTGATTCCAGGTAGGGTAGCTCCTCCTGCTCTATTATTTGCCCTTCCTCTTCTAAGCCAAGCTTCTTAACATGTCTTTTCAACCGGCAGTGCCCTGTTAGGACTCCCATTAGTATACTAATTTCATTTCCTCTCAAGCTGTCACATGCATTCGATTTTTTGTCGTTTTTCAATGTACTCAGTAGTATCTTAGCCTATCTGAGACCCAGAAGATTCGCCAATATATTTGATATCTGTTAAGATTCTTCTGTTAGAATTTCTTTTGATATAGTACTGCTGTTGATGCCATATAGGAGGGTTCTGGTTCGACAAACTGTATTCGAGCTCCTTTCTCAGCGAGTTTGTCTGCTTCTTCATTTTTTTTTACCCGAATATCAATTATTGACTGTATTCTTGTTGGCTAGCTAGTTATTTCCTCGAATATTTTAGAGCTGATCACCATGGAGATAAGCGCTTTGATGGCTGCTTGACTATCGGACATAATATTGATATCTCGTCTTCCACAGCATTTTTCTACATTGAGCTGTTCATAATTTCTTATTCAGCTCGAACTTGTGCCTGGAATATGCTTGGGAATTTGCCAAGGCTTCTGAAGTACTTGGTAAGAGTCCCGTACACTTCTATTCCAGTTACATCATCGTTTTTGGATCCTTGTGTGTATCACTTTATGACTCTTTCTTTGAGCTCAATACCCATCGATCCACTGTTTCATTCGTTTTCTGAGACATGAAAAAGACCTCATTTCTGAATGGATTTCATGGTGCCTCTGGGAATTGATAGAAGTGAAATTTGAAGTATTTGAATGTAAAATATATTGTGAAGCAAACATGTAGGTACGTACAACACAAATATATAGTTGATCTTTGTGACATTTATTTGAAAAGTAAAACTACCAAGGACAGGTTTGACATCCCCAGAGATTGGAGAAATTGCTCGTCCACCCTGTTCGTGATAGGAAAATTGAGAATATTCATTATGTTTTATTGTTAGGTACATTTGGAATTCAAACCTGTTTGTCTAAAGCAGAATGGCGTAAGCTGTGACAAAAAATATTCAGTATTTCTTGTTTATTGACTGTCATATAACTGGTCTCCTCATTTTTTTCTTGAAACAGGGCATCTCATATACAGGAATACTGATTGTATCAGTCTCTGTTGATTGCTTTTTGTGTCAACCAAGCACATTTTATATCTCTGGAAGATCCCACATTCTTCCTGAAAACAATGATATAGAGTTGAGTTCCAGGAGTTTTAGGGAGAGTTCTTCTTACCTGAGACATTTCACTAGGAATGCTAAAATGTGTTCACAGTTTTCACTATTTCCAGCTTCACATGAGCATATCATATTCCTGACAGACACCGAGTTCTCACAATGTACCCTTAATTTCATGAGGATCAGAATTGAGAACAGTGGACTGTAAACATAATGAGGCATAATATTCTTCAATGCAATCATTTGCATCCATTTGACCAGCCAAAACCAGGTGGCTCGCATTCATGAGCTCAGCTTCATTTTATAAAGACATTGAATCACTGAAGAAGTATAGACAGATTGAAATGCACAGCCTAAATGGCCAAATCATAAGAATTCTTGTTCAATAATGATAAAAACTTACAGCTTATCATTATGTTGGTATAGGTTTTAGGTTCAACATTCCAACCAGAGGTAGGTAGGTGTTCTACTGTTAAACATCAGGGATATTATTGTCCTCAATCAAAACACAATGAACCACTAGAAAACACGAATTTGAAAAAAACACATATATCAAAGCTGAGAATGATTGAAAACTCACACATCTCAATAAACACCATCACCAAACAATGTAAAATGTAAACAACCAAATAGTACTGGCATTCGCTGTTCTGGCTCTGGCGCTACGATCTCAATTTCGTTCGACATGGCGTTTTTTTTTAAATCATCCCACCCGATCTATAAAATAACTTACTCTGAACAATCTAACCTCCATGTATTACGGTGAAGTTATAAGAATTATGAAATTGAAAATATTCTATTAGCCTGAATCAATCTGATCATACCAATATTTTTTATTCAAAGTTTAACGCATATTATGAGGATAAAACCATAACAAGTGTAGAATTCAGGAATTCTGAGAGTGGAGAACGTTCAGATATGACACACTAAAATTCATTATGATTGATACTTATTATAATATACCAAATATTATTATTGCTCATTCGTATTATTACGATGTTTTTAAGACGTATTCAGGACGTGAGAATCAGATTTCTTTAAAACGTCTGAATGATGACATCTTGTAGACGTCTTATTCAGGGAGTAAGACGTACAGACTGAGATAGGATATAATTCAGACATCTTAAAGACGTCTTGTGCTATCTGGGTACTGATGTGTTCTGGTAGGTCAGAACAATTGTCTGATATTCATCACATTGTTGCCAAGAAACCAGAACCTACCTAGTTATCAGAATTATGCTATTTTTTGTCTTTATCTATACTGAATATTATATAATCGAGGCAGTTTTTCTGTATGAGCCGTGTGGGATGAAATATACTGAATTTTATATAGTCATGCTATTCGCGGTAGCCATCTTGGATAAAACACATACCACACATTTCTGAGGAAAACACCCGATACTACATATCAATGTCTACCGTATGTATAAGGGATTCCTCGAAGTCATTTCTTCCCCACACAAAAAATCTCACGGAATAACTATAATCAGAAGTATTCTCACACATCTGCAACCATCTGGAGGATACTTTGGGAAAATGGGAGCAGAATGGAATGAAACTCTTTCATGATGTGCATCCAATCTGCTAAATCATGTTGCATGAATATTATTGATTGCATCAATTTCGTTCGGTATGGATCACAATAGTTATTTGTTCTACTAGGCAGAAGAGTATCAGATTAACTGCTGCGGCTGATTGTTCATAGCCGAGCGTAGCGAACCACTAAATTTATCTCGAAATTCACTTATGATTCAGTTACAAAGTCAAAGGAGATGAGAATTGTTCTCAAGATAACATTCGAATTTGTGAATGTTATGCTCGGTTAATCGTCTGTCATGTAATGGAAATGACAACCCCAAATGAATGCATTAAATACTCACTCTAATCTCTCATTATCGTTCTTACTGGGTGGAATATCATTTAAGGGTTTTTTGGCAGTGACACAGCAAGCTACTATCCAAGGACTAGCACCACATCCAAACTGACTGGAACCACCTACCATCCAACAGGCAAAGGACAGTGTACATGAATGATATAATCCTCTTTTCTCGCATCTGGAAGGATATCCAAACATCGTAACGAATACTCTTCCTATAAATAGAACTGTGTTAGTTAATACTGACACAGATTGCACTCCTGGATTTAGATCAGCAAAATATTCCAGTCTTATTTTCAGAATTACATTTCAGAACTAGCATATCTCGGATGGAACTGTCTGGAACATGTCGAACCCATCATCGATAACAAGATAATATTAATATTGTGGTGATTATTCCACGAGCTTCAAAATACTCGTGTTGATAATCTAAAATATTATGTTTTCGTTTTTGAATTTCACATACTCATTGGTAGTTTCGATGAAGAATGAACCAAAATAACCCTACACGCAGCAGACTGTCGATAGTAGTTTATGTCAGTGAATTTGTGAAGCATGTGAAAGTATATTTATATTCCGGAATAAATTACAATCAACACTTAACTTCAACCGAAATCGTGATAGGCACTCACTTTCAATTTGTATCGAAGAATTTGAGACCAACTCTGTATGATCGGCATTTTGAAGAAACACTGTTAATATCAACCTATCCTCTTGAATTGTGTGACATTACCTTACTTAACCATCAATACGCATTCTCCGATGTATCACCAGTTGCATAACGCAATGATTGCAAATGAAAATATAACCTAAAATTATTGTTCCATTCATCGAATGTATGAGTGATGATGATGATTATCGACATTTCAATAGAGCCTGCTCTTCTGATTTCGAAAGTATAAACAACTTGCATATTTGGATCGGGAATGGTCTAGTTTTCGATGATAAAAGTTCACCAAAATCTTCCATCCAAACAATCGATTCATAGTTTATATTATTTTGATTGAACGATTTCAATTCCATAAGAAACACTATTATGACATTCAAATGGAGCTCAAACAATATAAAATAAACATTATCTCAAAGCCCTTCATGTTGAACTGCGATTTTTTCGTGAAGTTTGATCATTAATATCTCAACGAACTCTCATCCAAATATGCAACACATTTATATAATAAAAATCAGAAAAAAGTTTTCACATGTTCAAAACTATATAGGGGATTCTATTCATGAAATCAGAGTTGATGTCCTTTCCGGAGAAACGATTGACCCTATATAAAAACAACTGCCAAAAAATTTTGGGTTGTTTCAAACAAATTTTTTACATGACATTTTTACATATCTTCCAGAACGAATGAGTTGAGAGGCGCACTCTGTACACTGGATCACTTTTTCAATTTCTATCAGAAAAAACATGTTGGGGCTGATTCCAGCTACCACTGAGGGGTTGTTGTCTTGCGATTGCTCACAAAACGTAGGTAGATACATTATTAAAGTCATTCACTTCCCCGCTAACAAATTTATTCCTGTTAAAGTCTCCACCCTGTATCATTATCAATGTAGTGCGAGAGGGAATGGGACTATCAGTTCCTCGTCATTATTGTTATCTCAAGTAGAAATGAACTGCAGCATACTGCAAGTGTAATATTTTATGCACTTCAGGGATTCAAAGGGTACCTTGATTTCCTGAATATCTGAATACCTTGATTTGGAGTTACTTCAAATCCTTAGGGATCTGAAGTACCACTTTCTTGCCCGAAATCAGGATCACGATGGTTACTGAGGTATTTGATATGGTATCACTCAGACTCCTCGATGACGTTTCAGAAATATAGTACATACCGTTTAGTGGCACTTAATTCTTTTTCGTTACTTTTAACGTTCAACCTTCTCTGCCTAGGGATTCAAAATACCACCTTATTCTCTAGGTGTGTATTGTACTCATTTATCAGCCGGTAATACCTAACTTGCAATAATGGCAATATTTTATTCCATCGGAATAATACTCCCTCATTGCTGACGCGGCTTGATAGATTCATGAGTGTTTTTTAAAATAATAGCTATGAGTTTTCAACCAACGAATTTGGCTCTTCTTCATTCATTATTGATAGCATTCTCTTGAATAAAATAGATTAATATATACAGGGTGAGTCAGTTTTTTTTAGCTGGACTTCAACAGCTTGAATGAAATCCTATTCTAAGTTGAGAATCTTATATAAACACATACTCGTAGGATCTTTTTTTCCGATAACAGGTTAGGTCATTTTTCATATATCGCTGCTCCAGAATGATAATGACGCGAATGCAAAAAAGTGAATTTCACAGGAGAAGGAAAAAACGAATTCAAAATATCAATTTTTTGATTTTCAAATAGGCGATTTCATCTATAAGTTTGAACCTTCGATATATTGGGAGTATACCCCCATACTCCAATGTAGTATGTTCAAAAAGATAATATTTTGAAGGTTGATATGGATATATGATGTTGAGTTTTTATTCATGCTGAAAGAAAAAACATCTTAGTCAATTGTGTCAACAGTTACAATGATTTCCTTGGTTTTAAACATGAAAACAGATGAAGGATTTCATCGATTTCATTTCCAGATTATATTTTCTGTTAACTCATGAGCAATGGTATAAACTAGAATCCTCTAAAATCTATTGGACAAAGATGTAGAGAGTTTTTCGAATCATGTACTCTAGGGGAAATAATTTCAATAAGATGAATTGCACTTATGTAGGCTATAATTGTATTTATAACTGAAACTCTGTCTGAATTTCCGAATATCGATAAACAACCCTCGGATGATTACCTAACTGAGAAAAAAAATAGGAACTGAAAAATAATATCCAACTGTTTGATCAGAAGAACCCTGAGTTTGAAATCTCAAATAGAATAAGGAGCTGAACATTTGTAATTCGAAAATGATATTTGTTTCAACCAAAGATTACCAACCCTTTGAAATCAGAGATTCAAGTTTGAGGGTGAGTGTATATTCTTAGAACATCTTCTGACGACTCTGAATTTACTGAAACAGCTTTCTATTTCACAAATCCTCGCGCCTAATTTTCAGTTGCAACAGTAGGAACTGAAAATGTTTCATCTGCATGTCTAATTTACAGCTGCAATTATTGTAGGTTAGGAGTTATGAAAAACAAATGAGAGATCTATGAATTATGTGATTATTGTGAAAAATAGTTGTTTCAGGAACCTGAAATATCTATATGTTTTCGTTCGGCTCAAGCGATGTCTCTGAAATTAATTGAGAATGTCAATATCTTAATGCTTTCCATCGATATCATGAATCATTTCGGATCATAGATTTGACAAAGAAATTTATAATAATCTACAAGAAAGACCAATTATTGAGAAGGAACATTATCAGATATATTTATGAACACAAAAAAATGAATTTATATATAAATAAATACATTGGGAATTCGCATTCTCCATGTGATGAAAATATCAATTCTTTAACGGTTTATTCAACAGAAAACAACTCACTTTCCTGGCTATATGCCACGACGAATATCGAATTACATCTATTGAACACACTATGAGAATTTGAAAACAAAATCTTCTGAAGTAGAGAATTTGCATTCTCCTTCATATAAAGATATGCATATACAACTAGTTTCCTGGCTATTTGCCACGTTGAACATTGAATTATATTTGTTGAATATCCAAAAAGAGAACATGAAAGATCAAAATCCTCTGAAATTTGGGATTAACATCATCTCTCAAATCGAATGGAATAATATAATGTATTATGTTATAAAAATATAACCTACCGATATGTTCAGTATTGAAATGAAAATTCAAATGTATAGGAGAAGTATACTTGTATGAACTCTGATCTTAATGAGTTTGGAACTTTCTATAAAATCATTCGTATTAATTCAGAATTTCTTTCCACGTCCTGTATGATGAATGTCAATTCATCATACATTCAAAAGACCAATTCCTTCGAAAAAGTCACAATTTCATTCATAATTTGTTTTATTGTTTTATTTATGTCGCATTGATAACAGATGGAAGATTGAAATGTTTCAAATAATTTGTCCTGAAGAACAGTTGGGACATTGGGAATCTGAATAATCTGATGTCATATGGACTGAAAGTGCAATTACGAAGAGAACCAGATAATATTTCAGAGGAGAAAATGACGCTTGGGATAGTTATGTCATTATTTATTTTATTGAAAGATAAACAATGACTCAAGATGTATTAAACATCACATCTTATACTCTCTCAGCTTTTCTCTATCTTCTGGTCGGTATAACTCATAAAACCAAAAATGTTGCAGTTACGTCATCGTTATTCTGGAACAGCGATTTTTTTTTTGTTTCCGAAAGTGATGCCACTGAGTTTAATAAACACATCTCGTAGAAGCTTCCGATCATTCCAATTCTTAAAAAATGTCGAGTAGAGTGTGCTCAAATAATCAAGTTTCATCACAAGTAAACTAATTTTGTCAGTTATCTCGAAATCCATACAGTTTTCGAACAAATATAGGAGAGCGAAGAGGTTCCAAATCGAAGAGATGATCCCAATTAATGTTTCATTGATGATAGCACAGGCAGCCTGTCGGTAATCAAAATTGCCCAATCACCCTCAATATCAAGATTTCAGGTATATCAAACTCCAATTCGATAGTTAGAAAATTGAAGGAGAAAACTAGAAAAACATCGGGAACAAAGCTCCCATGCATATTTGTCCAAATGAACTTCTCATTTCAGTTCTTGAATTCAACAGAAAACTGACTTTCTATGTATATTCATTCACAATTGATGAACTGGAAAACAGCGGAATACGAGACAAATACTAATATATCGTATGAGTGTTAAATATTGATGAAAAGCACAAAGCATCGATGATTCACAAGGTGTTCTCTACGTTGAAAAATGTATAAGAGACAGTTTTTACTTTCCCCATACTTGGAAGATAGCTTATAGATACAGAGGTTCGCAAGAAATGTAGAATTTCAAATTTTGTAAATGTTATTTGCGCTATCGTGAATTCCATAAAAAAGTAGTCAACGTTCGCCGAGATAGCAATTCTCTATCTTTGAGAATAAGTGAAATATATGCCGCGAAGATATCGATAAGGGGACAGCCTGAACATATTTGTTTTTGAAATGATTCAATGAATATTCGCGGAATGTAAGAGGAACTGTGGTGGATGAACGTTACCTTTCAGGTTGGGGTTGGAACTGGCTTGTCATTGCTGATCAATACCGAAACTAACGATGCGATATCGAATCATTTTTGCCCAAAGTTTGTTGAAAATGATTGATGATAGTCGTAGGTTATTATATGGCTGTGCCGTTCTATCGAAATAACAAAATTATCATACGATAATTATGTGTTTCCAAAAAATATGAACGATTTGATTATTCGAACAAATATATCTCAAGGAGAATGAAGTAGAAATTAGAATTATCTCTTCCGAAGTAATTTGGTATCATCAGTCTGAATATTGTAGTGGTTCGCACTGTCCCAAAATCGTATCATGGAAATGTATTCGAATGAGGTCTTGTATACCCTGTCTATGAAGTTGAGCTTTATAATTTTCTAATGATGTATAATCACTATACCGTTCGAAAAGAAAATATCTACCTGTAACACTAATGCCTTTCTCGTAATAGCCGGCGAAATCATCTTCATTCCCGTCTCGGGTGTTCCATGTGATCTTTGGCAGGAAATCTCTGATGTTAAATATAGCTCGCACTTGCACAATACACATAAAGACCAGCAATATGAATCGCATCTCTCGCTTATCTTCATCCTAACTTTGTTCCGTTTCTGTCAACTGTAATTATTGTCATCTTATTTTCGACGAATTAACGCGACCGGTCATGGTGTGGAACCTTTATAATTGAATTTGTTGCTCGTCTGTCGAGTAACAGTAAAAGAATGATGGGTAACGGAACGACTTCATGCCGAAAGCGGCCTACATTTGGAAGATCGCCGAAGAGAAGGATAATAATCATTATTGTTGTGAAAGATCTCTGCAAACATTTTGCTAAATGAACGTACCTATCATTATCCGTGAAGGATTATACCTTTCAGAATGTTATTCAGTAAAATAGCTTTATATCAATATATCAAACTCCAACTCTGCGTACTTTATGACTTAATCCTTTCCAAATTATGATTATGAGGAGACTACACTGAACTATATGTACATATATATAATGTGGTGAAAAATTCTGAATTTTACATTGGAAATATTCCCAAAATTAATAGTTCCCATGCTATTTACCATCAAAAGTCAATTCATTACGGAATTAGTATGATTATACCATACCAATTTGAACTTTCGGTCGAATATTCATCCATAGTCATGAAAAACTTTCAATGGCAATCATTTGTTACACAGTTGAGTGCAAGCACGGCTCAATGCTCAACAGGAGAAATTCAAATAGGATTTTTTTTATTCATCACCAGATTGTCGAGAGAGAATACCAGCTTCAGTTTCTGTATCTAGAATGTGTGATTAGAATTATCTCAATGATAGTGTAGAATTTGATCGTTCATTGGAATTTCATGAAAAGAATTATCATTCACTTCTTGACCTCATGAATTCGTTGAAAGAAGTTGTGAATAACCAATGAAAATATGAGTAGATCATTGTTCTTCAAAAAAAACATAATCAGAGACAATCGATATGTTAATAAATACAAAAAGCTCATTTCCACGCAATGTTTAAGAAATGAGCAACATTGGTAGATTCCTAGGACAAAATAACTATACTTTCCTGGCTTATGCCACGCACAATATTGAATTACATACTCCAAAAATCTATGCATCGACTCAACAATTGATATTCCAGGATTTTCTGGAATGTAACGTTCATGATTCATTCGTATTGCGCGAGGGGTGTTTCACTTCGACAAAATGTGAACACAAAATTGTATATTGTGAGATTTGGAGAAGTCCCGATGAGATTTGTAACAATTGTATGTATGTAGGATTTGCAAGATTTACGAAAGATTTACATAATTTATCATCGATTAGGAGATTTCTTGTGAGTTTCAGGCTATCAAAGATCTACAAATTTCATCAAAATTGCACAAATTCACTCTTCTTTTCAACATATTCATGAATTTTCAAGATTTACAAGAATATTTTTTGTTGGATAGGTTCAGAATCAGTATTATTTTTTTTTTCTCTCAAGAATAAGACAAGGACACAGACTAACGTTTCAGACATCAGTATATAATGATTTAACAAATAGGACAAATCTAAAATAATTTTATAGATTTTGGTTCATTTGTTTATTTTCAATAACAATTCATATTCTCGACTGGTACTGACTATATTAAAGTCAAGTTTTTCGGGAATTGTTGGACTTCAAGAAACATCGTGTGGGTTTGGGAGAAATTGTGAATTTTTTATGGAAATTGATGGAAATTGGAGTACAAAATCACCATTGGTGGTATATCCCCTTCGTCAAAATCTATTACCCAGTCGAACCATGAGAAGATTTCGTCTCTCTGCTGTGTAATTTCTTCAATAGGATTCCTACTTTCCATATAATTTTTCAATCTACTTTTTTCATCGCATATTTTGTATCAAACAAGGAAAAAGCACAATTTTCACTATGCAGCAGAATTTCAAAATCTATTCATCTCGAGAATGCATGGTGACTATCGAAACTAAACAAGAGTGAAATTCTCAAGTGAAAATGTTGAATACTGTCTGTAGGTTAATCGAGTAGGTGGTACATACATGATTCAAAATTTTTTGGGATTTTCTCTCCTCGTTTCTATAAGATAAAAATCTGAATATCATTTCAATATACAAATACAACTTTTCTATTGGATTAACCATTTTTTATGTTGAAAACGGGAGCAGATTCGATACCGAAACGTTCAATGATAAGTGAAAATTTGAAATTCATTTTATATACCTCAATTTCTCTTCTCCAAACTTTTTTCAATACAAATTGTCACTGACAAGCTAGTGAATTCTTCTTTTAGGCTCTCTGATAAGAAAATTCGTTAAACGCAGTTAGATAGATAGATAGATACTTTATTCGTTTACCATTTTACATATTCACAAGGAAATATAAATGGACAAACATGTCAAAAAACACAGAAAGCATATACCAAAATTCACAGTATGAAAATTGTTACATACTAACACAGAAAATAGAAGACTAAAACCATGTAATGAAGTACACTTTGGACGAAACAGTTTGTCTAGTACGTATTATGTCAGAGAAAACAAATAAATAATACGAAATACTATACTATATATAAATAAGTACACATACACACACATGCATCAATAAAAATTATCAAAATTCATCTAGTGAGTAGCAGCACTTTTCAATTAAGAATTCTTTCAGTCTATTTTTGAATAATCTGAGAATTGGGCTGTAACATATTGCGGTAACGAGTGTTATGATCATGTTTTGGCAAGCACATTGTAATGTTTTTATAATTATTTTCATTTTATAGAAACGGGGAGAGACAATCCCAGAAAATTTGGAATAATGAAAATGTTGTGATTTTTTTCATATCTGCTAGACCAATTGCCGATAATTGCATGAGCAAAAATGCTGGGACGGTATTGGGATATTTTATCACAGAGGGTTCAGAAGATATTCACATTGAACCATCATCTCAGGCTCCCTCTTAGATGACTATAACCCTACAGAGAGCAATTGTTCATATGATTTTTTTCCGTTACTAAATTATGCGGTTCAAATAATGGTATGTAATTTCGGGATACCATGTATATCTGTCTGTATCTATATGATACTCATATTTTCATATTTGTAGGAGATAAGAAATACTAACAATCTAGAGAAATCAATGTGAAATGTTCTTTATACATTGTGGCAACCTATGATGGAATAAATTAGATGATGAATAGACGAGAGTGTTCTCAAAAAAAAAGCTTGGACACGCCGACTGATATTTTTGAAAGCGCATCCTTGCCAACATAAGAGTTTTGAACAGGCCGTGTCATGTAACAGCGACCAAAACCAACTCTTATTTCGAATGCAGCACCGTATAGTTCATTGCATTCCTACATTCTAACTGAAGAGCTGATTTCATCAATGCATCACACTTGGGATCTAGCAGGAACTATTCATTATCGGTCAGAAAGTCTCTCATATCCCTATCCCCACTTTTGATTTACTATTCATTATCGGTCAAAAAGTCTCTCATATCCCTATCCCCACTTTTGATTTACTATCAACTGACATTCAATCGGACCAAATACAAGGTGGTTCAAGATTCACAATTCTGATCACCCTGTTTCCGATTCAATTACATGTGAGTAAATAGTTGATCAAAAGTTAAGATAGGGACAAATCCAAAAAGTTCAAAAATATCAACTTTGGACATTTTATATCTCTGTTATCGTTTCTGATCAAGCTTGGGTGCGATTCATCGATGATATCAGCTCTAGGAAAGCAATGAAAGACAGGGTGTTGCATTCAAAATAAAAAAAGTTGGTATCGTCCGCTGTCACATGACACGCCCTGTATGAAAAATTTTTGTTAGGAAGGATATGCTACTGAAAATATCATCGAAAACGCCGCGATTTATTAATTATCAAGTATATTCCATGATAGGTTTCCACACTGTATATAGATCACATATCGCTGAGAGATCGAATATATTTCAGGATGCATGTCTGTTACGTGTCTGTGAAATTGACTATGTTTCGAAATCAGGTATCAATAAATGAACATCAATGTTGCAAAATATTTCTAGGACACATGTTATTTCATATTCTTGTTGTAAATTTGTTCTATCCGTCATTCGGCTGCCCCCTTACGAGCAACCCTCAGAAGTCTTCGAGAGTCGTGTGCGAGCAAGGATTGACGGGGGCCTTACCTTTCAACGTGTGATCCCAAATACTTTCTCGGGCCATCAAAAATTCTTTTGCAGTCGCTGGGAATTGGACCCACGACCGGCAAGCGAATGCGGATCAGAATATTGACACTCGGTCCGCACGGCTACCTGGCCCCCTATATATCGATTATGTTTCGGTAATAGGTCAATGATGTTACGGAATACATTTCAGACACAATCATGTATACAATATCAGGTGACCGGGATATTTCAAGGTACCTTGCAAGTGTCATTGAACGCACATAACATATATTTGATTATTTCATGTTTCATGGATTATATTTAGTTAATGTGTACAATACATATCTGTGTTCTCTAGGTGTTAGTTCATAAATATCTCTGTAAAACGTGGAGCTTAATACGCCAACTTTTGTTACATCGCTATCAAACCACTATATTAGTCCCCTTATATCTCCTTAAATAATTTTAGATACAAATATGAGAAGCTTCCGAAATTGTCATGAAAATATAAGTAGTAATCGTTTTCGGACTACATCTTCAGAACTGAAGAACAAGGTGACTGACAGTGATAGACGTGAGCTTGATAAGAGACGTCTTCTTTCCAATAGCATTGGTGCCTATGGAGGATAACACTAGCAAGGTCAAGTCGCGTATCGCTATTTGACCACCTGGGGACGTCTTCCCCTGAAGGGTTCTGGTGCTTTCTCCCAGAGAACCCTTTTTGTGAACAGGCTTCAGGGCTTTTCCATACAGAAGAACCGAGACATGGCGCCCAACGTGAGGCTTTAATACTCGGTCTAGCGAGATCGATCCGAAACCAAATCACAGCCCGAATGAGTTTCGTAGTTCTGATATGGCGCCCAGAAAAATACCATTCATCAGCTTGCTGTTTTGACCGAAGGAATATGGGATGAATTGAACAGTGATGGGAAGGTATAACCAACAACATTCTAAGGACGCGAATAGGAAGATTTAGTGAC